TGAAGGTGTTCTCCAAGATATCAAGCATTTCTTGAAATAAAAAGACTCAGATCTGAAAAGGGGGGGAAATTAGGATAATTACCTACAAAAAAAGGTAATTTCGGAAGAAAAGGGGGGGGGGTCCAGACCCCGGGACCGGCCCCTGTATCCACCTATGGGTCGTCATATTCTTTTTAAACTTCCCAGTTTGATGCTCAGTGTTACGGACCAAAACAGCCCGAACATAAAAAAACACAAACATCAACTAACTTAACTATGAATATTATATGTTACAAACAATGAACATACACTACATAAACTAACTACATGTAATACTATCATGTTGCATTAACTTTAACATTTGTCAAATACAGTTAAATTCTAACAGATTCGTAGACAGTTAAGTTTTGAAGACGCAATGTCACAGTTTTACGAGTCCTCAGCTGCCTCGGTAAGTATAGTAGTATTTTCTTTTATACATTATGTGCTTGCGTGCATATGGTACATGCATTTGTATGTCAGCATATATGCATATGCATGTATGGGTGTGCACACATATTCAGTCAGTCTGATACATGAATTTCCTTTGCCTGTATTCCAATTTTTGCCGATGCTTGTATGTGAATTGAAGTATAATTAGTTGCTTTTCTTTAGTTGATATTATAAAATATACACTCTATACTGATTTATTTACTAATGAAGTTTTGTCACTTATGTACAAATGTTTATGTTTACAAAGGAAATAAAAAATTCATCCGTGTATTGTATGTTAAGAGTATGAAATTAATTTGAATACAGATAGTCAAGAGTTTGTTTTAAGTAGTTATGTTTGTGTATTTTGCAGACAGTGAAGCTGAAGGATTTTGAAAGTGGCAACCCAATCTTTGACTTCAGTAATGCTCATGGGGATGCTGCCATCACATGCTTGTGCTTTGATAACACAGGCAGAAGGTAATATAGGTCACTTTACTGGTATTTGCCATTTGACTGGTGCTAATACCATAAACAAGTATAATATATATATATTATACTTGTTTATGGTATTAGCACCAGTCAAATTATTATATATTATACTTGTTTATGGTATTAGCACCAGTCAAATGGCAAATGCCAGTAAAAGGTCCATAAATTTGTTCAATTACTTACCACTTCTTTTATTTGGGCTTCTAAGTTCTTAGACCATGGCAGTTGGAAGGGCTTTTTTTGTGCAAATTGTAATATATTTACTTTAGTATAATACAATCTGATCTAGAACAAAATACAACTGCAAACTAATTATATACATAAAAACCTGGAATGTGTACTAATTCTGTCTTGTGAAAAAATAATTAAATCATATAATACTTGGAAGATAGCATTGTTTGAACTTTGGTAGCTGTGTTTCTTGGTTAAATGATCAAAAGCAAAATTTGGTCCTGAAATTTAATTTATTTGATTGTAGGTGTATCACTGGTGCCAGAGATGGCTGTCTTAAAATATGGAACTACAACAATGGGCATTGTCTCAGGGTTTTAATGAAAGGTAGTATTATTATTATTAATATAATTATTTTTATTATTATTTGAATGTCTCATTTTCTAGTGAAGGCACTTTTGTGAGGGTGAATTTTGCTAAATTTTTGAAATTGCTTTTATTATAAACTCTTTCCATCCATCTTGCCTAGATTTCACTAGTTGCATCTATTTTAATTTTTTTCTGATGGTTGAAACTATAAATAAAACTGTCACTAAGATCTGAATAGATAAAATTATCATGGTTTGTTTAAATCAATATCATATATGGAATTGATGATATTTCTTCCTCATTTTACAGAGTCTGGCAATGATGAGATTTGTTCCTGTGCATATATAGAAATGAACAAGAATAGGTAAGTCAAGGAGCAGAGAACATTGCTTTGTAGTGAATACCATAATGTAAATATTTATAGTAAATGTTAGTGGCAAATTAACCTACATATTCATATGCAACATTAACATTTGACTATTTTTCTAGCTTGGTAACCTTTCTTTTCTGTAATTCTTCCTGTGATCTTTTAAATGTATATAGACTTATCTCATATTTATCCTTTAATACTAATCTTCAGTGGGAGATTACTGTGTCTCATGCTAAAAGTTGCCATTAAATTTTTTGTTTAATTTCTTTAAAAACTTCTTTAATTAGTAAGACTGGAATATATAAAAGGTATAGCTGTTTGGGTTCAAATGTTCAAATGCAGTTGATGCATCATGATTCTTATTGACGTTATATTCATTTCTTGTTTGAATTTGTGCAGAGATTTGATGTTCAGAATAATAAGGCCATGGTTAATTCTCTGTTTGGTAAAGATTTTTTTTAATTATAATATTTAATTTTTTTTAAAACATGGGTGTTAACATCATACATGGCTTAGTTGTTTGGTAATGATTTCCCCAGTCTTCTTAGTTAAATTTTAGTTAATATTTTGTGTTATCATCTTTTTATTTGTTCAGTTGATAATAATTTTTTTCAATACTACTGTGATACAGGAAGTTACTTGATGTTAACACAGAAATTGAAATCAGACCACAGAGGTAGATGTTTGCAAGCTGTCTTGTATACAACATCATAGAGCTTGAGTTTATATCTTGAGTTTATACAGCAAATTAGGCAGTGATATTCAGGGTGCTTTTAAAGATTTTGTAAAAGTCATTCTCAGAAGTATGAACAGAAAATTAGGTGGCGATATTAAGGATGCTTTTAGAGATTTTAAAAAGTCATTTTTGAGAGTTTAGACAGCAAATTAGGCAATGGTATTTAGGGCGCTATTAAAGATTTTTTGTAAAAGTCATTTTTGAGAATTTAGACAGCAAATTGGGCAGTGATATTCAGGGTGCTTTGGAATATATTTGACAGCTTCACTTATGTTTTGCAGTTGGTGCATATTGAGCAGAAAATCTACACTATTCTTTGTAAATACCAATGACATGCTTAAATTGTAAACAGTGTATTATTCAATTTGATATACATATGATTAGACATAGACATGCTTGCAGATCTCTTTGCTCGGTGTCAAAGACTATATTTCCTTATGAGGCTTGGGATTTGAAATTACAGCTAATTGCTTGTTAGATAGAACAATTTTATGACTTAATGACAATGATTTTTTTTTATTTTGACATACAAATGAAATTCATCATGTGATCTTTTATGGCAATGTCCCATTTATATGTTTGTTATTATTACTGCTCTTGATAACTTTTTAGTTGCTATTTGAAGGCATTTTTGTGTTTTTGTGTGGGTTTCTGTGGTTTTCTTTTTTGCTTGTGCGTGTTTGATTGCTTATATTAAAAGGGAAGGCTTTACATTCATGTTGGATATGCTTTTATGATAAGCACATAAATATTAAGTTAATACAATCAATATTTTTCCTTAATCAAGTACATTGAAAAGGCACCATGTCAATGGGCACAACTTTGATTTGTGAAGTAAAATGTAATAAGTAAATAATCAATTAACCAGTTTCATCTTGTGTGTATCCTGGTGTTTTGCTTTAAAATTATTGTGTTTTTGATATTAATGATAATAGTTTTCAGCTTAATGAAACAGAACTTAAATATGTTCACTGCTAGCACAAAATGCCTACTGTAACAATAGTCTTGTAAAACTTCAACATTTAAGTTGCAGTTATATTTCAAATCAATTTCTATAACACCTGCTGTTCACTTCAGGTACGTGGTATCTGTGGGCTTGGACCATAGGGTCAACATCTACTCTGATGACCAGGACGATGATGATGTCAGACATACCATTGACCCACAGCCTCCCTGGCAGGATGACCTGGTCAGTAGATGGACACTCAGACTGGATTAAATTTTTTTAAATAATAATATAATGAGTAGATTAAGATTTATTGGTTCAACCTTCAGGAAGAATACACTTGATTGGAGTATCCTGTTCTGCAATCCCTCTTTAGCCTCCAAATTTAAGAGGGCATGCAGTGCAATCCCCTTGCCCTTTCTAAAGTTCTGAACCTGCAATTTAATACCTCCAGATGTGATACAAGTTTTTCTATTCATTTTTTCAGCTATGAATGATACATATACTAAAATATAATAATGATTTCAGGAAAATGGTCACAAGGAGGACATTCTTTCTGTGGCTTTCTGTCCACCCAATCTTCTGGCCACATCCAGTTATGATGGAGAGGTCATTGTATGGAACATGGTGTCTGGACACATCTTCTGCCACCTGTTTGCTCCAGTACCTAAGGGATACAAGGACCAGTCATGTAGGTGCTGTGTTTGTAGACCAGATAATATCAGTCAACTTTTACCTGAGATAAGTCAGTAGTAGTCTAAATAAATTATTGTCTTATAAAGAGAAAGAAATGGATAATGTTTTAGAACAGTTGTTTATTTAGTAGACTATCACAGATTAATTTTGAATAAAAGAAGTTCAGAATCAAAGCAAAGATTACAGTTTTTTGCTTACATGTAGCTCATTCTGACTTGTCAGAAAATGCGACTTTTAACAATAAGTTGCAGTTTATCTCTGTGAAATGCCACTTAACTGAAGACATACATTATGAAGAAGATGTTTTAAATTTTGTAGAAAAATAATTTAAAGAACTCCAGTTATGATAAATCAATAATCAATTTTTTAACCAGCACTAGGAATGGGAGACAGTTTTTACTCTCATTAAAAATCCAAAAAAATTATATTTGCATATTAACAAAACTGTCCATGTTTCAGTGGATGGCGACTTGAGCATCAACAAGCTGTTGTTTTTGAGATCTCGAGCACACAAGAAGGATGCAGCATCTCTCATTGCAGGAGGACCCAGGGGTTACCTCCACTTCTGGAATGTGTTCCACGGAGGTTCTCTGTACACCCAGTTTACNATTGGTTCATTCCATATCAGCATTTTAAGATGGAAACCTTTGAGAAAACCCTACCATCGATCTGATGCCTGACACATGTAGTGTCCCTGGAGTGTTACGTAGGGTTGTTGAGACAGGACACTCATCCAATTACCAATTTTGATGGACTTTGCAGATTGTGAACTCACAAACACATAAGCCACCTGAGGTAAGCTTCTCCCCACCCACACCCCACCCTAATAAGCATTTGATAAGTCATGAAAAGGCATTAGGGGATAAGAAATTGCCCAAATTCTTAAAAATTGAATGGATTATCACTCACAAAAGAGCTTTGTTTTAATGCAAGCTCTCCATCTTCCATGCCTTCCCATATCTTTGTTTTAAAATGGAATTAGTCATACTTTCTGAGCAAATATTTTCATTTGTCAATTTTTACTACCATTAACAATAAAAGTATGCTAAATCACTTCAAATGTAACCTGCACGATTGTAAGACTTTAATTTTTATTTCCAGCAAGTGAGAGAGAGTGTGTCAGAGAGCAATGCCCAGGTGTTGTATGCAGCCCGCGGATGTCTGGGTGAAGGTATTAGCTTTTCTTATATATGTGGTATTTAAGCGTATTCCATTTGATTGCATTTTATTTTATTATACACATGAAGACTTTAATATGAAGATAAAGTAAAGTTGGTGCCAAGCTGATGATTTTGCAAATCAAAAATACATTCATGGAGTTTGTGCAGTTGAGGAAAACCAGGGTATGCTGTTGTATACTGGCTGTTTATCTTGTGAAATCTACCCATGTTTATGAATTGATATAATTAAAGAAAAATGCAGCATGGCTTGCCTACATCTGAAATGGTGGATTGAGTTTTTGTTTTTATTTTATTTAAAGTCAAAAATTTTGTCACTCTGTATTTGAATAAATTTGATCAAATTTCAGAGTATTATGGAGAATACTGTGAAAAGGAGCCTTCAGCTTTCACTGGAGCTGATCTTTAATCAAGATCCTTTTTGAGGTCAAATTTGAAAAACTGTATTTGGTTTAAAATTTCATTTTGTTGATTATCATATCTCATAGTAAGTTTCTTTTAACATTTTTGCATCTAAGATTAAATTCATCTTATGTCAGTCTTGATTGTTCTATTTAAATTGCTGTATGGTATTTTTATCATATTGTAAATAAGTCCCTGTTGCTTCTTCAATGAATTATTTCCCTTCTTGATTTGATACATTCCCAGTAAATATGTTATTTCAGAAACAGCTGCCATTGTGGTCCCCATTATACTTGGGGTCATCCTATTAGAGGCAGTTATTGTTGTGTTCCTATTTCTGCAAAGAAGAAGGTAAGATTTCTCTCTCTCTCTCTTGCAAAGAATTTTAAGAGAAAATTGTTAAGTCATCTTAGATGATATCAAATGCATCTTAGAAAATAAGTTATTCATTATCAAACTGTTTTTTCTTAAAGGCATATAAGGTATAATCATTGCAACAATTTTTTAAAGACTTATTTAATACTTAATATATGTCCAAATATTAATCTTTTGGTAATGATAACAAACAATTCCCTTGCATATTGAAATAGTTGTTGCTGTTATTTCAGTATGGGCAAGGCCCTAACTGCATTTGAATGGGGAGGGGGTGAATTCAGACTGGGGCACCTGCAGGAACTGGCTTTCCATGGAGAAAAGGTTGTGGCCATCAGCATGCCAGACTTAGCATATGACAGCTCTGTGGCACAGAATGGAGTAAATAGCTTCAATAACTGGAAATTTTCTTTTTATTCATTAGTCTAAAGTGCTTGTCTTTTTTGAAGACTACAACAAACCAAAAAACGTGCTAAACCTAAAACAGGGCATGGCCAGCCCCAATGACCCACTCATTCCAATGGGGTAGCAGACAACCAGTCATCAGAGATCACAGTCCATATACCACATAAAGAATGTATTAATTACTTTAAAATGTGAGGGGAAATGATACAGCTCAGTCAGTGTAGCAAGTGGAGTTGATATGATTCCAGATGAAAATACAAAACAGCAATTTGCAGTTTGTTTTAAAACATCATCCTAGAAATATATCTGTGTTGGATTCCTTGGTGTACTCAACATTCCAAGAACTATTGTCTTGGTTCAGAAACGGGTAGAAGATAAATTTATATTTAATAGCATACAAGACATGTTGATGGTTTTTTCCTTCTGGCTTTGAACTATATGTCATGTGACATTTAATAGACGTCTTCGGATGGTAATTTTATCAATATTTGATCAATACAAAAGCTTTAAGAAGGCTGGAAGAAAATTAGTCCCTCTCCATTGCAACATTACTTATATATGATTTTTATTTACAGACAGAAGTGTCTGAACATATTGCTGTCACATGCGTCTGTCATCACCGTCTTTGCCATGCACTTTCAGTGTTATAACGATAAGTAGAAAACTATTTTGTCTGCAAACTTACAAAACTGATGAATATTCATATACTGGATGAGTTTGAAAATCAGCTTTATTTTTATAATTTTTACAACATTCATTTTTTTTTTTTTTTGTATAAGTGGTTTTTCCTCAGGTTCAATTCTTAGTCATAAACGTCTCATTATTGAACATATTACAAACATAAATTTGATAAATGTGTTCTTTTGACAAATTCTGCATTTTAACAATTTTGTTAGTTGATTATATAAAAATGATGGTAAATCTGTTATCATGTCTTGTGAAATAAAGAGTCAAAATTGGAAAATAAAATTATATCAGTGCAGTTTGTCAAATTCAATCCTTCGCTATGTTTATAATTTCAAAATGAAGCAAATTGGATATTTAAAATTGTTCAATTGATGTATTTTTTATTTGTTTGAATAGAGGCCTGTTGATACCATATTGCTGTACTTGAAATTTTGTTTGTTCTTTTAGTGTTAGTGCATTGTTCTTTAAGTATGAGATATATTAATTTTGATTTTTAGATACTTGTCAAACAGTATTTTTTTTGTTTTTGAGAGTGTGCATGCCAATATTATGTATGTTCTCCCTTATTTTACTGAAATAAAGGATGTTTTGGGGGAAAATGTTTATGTTCAATTGTTGCTCTTTTTCTCCCTCTAATCTTTTTCCTTTCACTTTAATTTTTATAAGAAAAATCCCTCAATATTTGTTAAAAATGGAATAATATCAATAAGAAAATTTTCCAATTAAAAATATACAAATTTATATATATTTTGATTACCCCCAAGTTAATGGATTATGCTTTCTTTTATGGAGTGCTTTACTGAAAGATATTCTGTATAATTAAATAGTATATTTGATGATAACAGACAACAATAAATCTTTACTAGTTTTTCAAATTCGGCTGCAGGGGTACATTTTACACTGATGGGCATCTATTTTTCTGTCGGAAGACGGTCAAAATTGGAGGATGGATCAAAAAAGATAATTTGGAAGACTGTCAGAAAATACCTCTGGATCTGCCCCTGTATGTATAGAGGCGTATCTATCGGAACGAATATTTTATTAGGACGTTTATCTATATGGCGGACCCCGGCTGCAGTACCTTTAAATGACCCCCCAAACTGTCACTTGCTACACGTCTTTCCATTTACCAAATAATCAAACTACATCAGAATTTCTGCATTATTTTTTAAATTATTTGTCATGTTTTTCTATTCATTCTTTGCTGATTTTTCTCATTTAAAAAAATTCTAAAACATTCACTAGCTCTACCTTAAAATTTCCACTGTAATTTCACTTACTAGAATTTACTTCAGACACAAGTACAATATTGTATCAGTGTTTGGTCATTTTTGCTCATTTTTTACATTTTATTTTTCTAAAGAATATCGATGAATTTTTATGCACTTCTCTTGGCTCTTGTTCCGAGTACAAGATAATTCTATACAAATGCGGAATTGAGTTGATAATTAATATCTAAGATGTGGTATTACGTATACGTATGTACAGGCATGTACCGGGGCTCTCGTCCAAAAAACCCTACTCAGACTCAGCCTTCCAGCTGTTACAAAATTCATCCGAAGGACGGTTCGAGCAATGATTTATAATGAGAAGGAAATTGTTTTATTTCTCGGACGAAATTACATTTGGTAGATTCAAGTCTATATTATTTTCATCAAATAATAAATTTTAAGGTAGCTTAGGTGATCAAGATCACAACTATTTGAAATCTCTAATGTGAGCATCACTTCCGGACAGCCTTATATTACTACAGGCAATGTAATTTGCATATAAGAGGAAAATGCTTTTTTTTTCCTGTTTTTGAGTTGTATACAGATTTTCTTTAATTTTTGTAAATAACAATGTCCCATTACAGTCATAAATTCCAATAATTTGATCAACATACCCTGTTACTTAATTCATTTATATAAATTGTAAACCTTCACATCAGAGGCGTGAATCAGGTTTCACGTCCAAGTCATAACGTTAAACTAGCGCCAATAACTGCAGTGGAGAATGTAGGTCAATTGCCTGTACAATTCTCTCATAGCATTATTGATTTTTTCTGGAGTGGAACAGTTTAGGGGGAGACCGACGAGAGAGAAGTAATAGTTTAATAGAAAAATATAAAGACAGCGTAGAGATGCTGTACTCAGAATCTATTTAAATATTTTAGAAAAGTGTAAAAATAACCCACATTTCCAGTTTCACCGTGTAGCACTTTGCAGACACCACGACACCTCTCTATGTCATCTGTCTCTCCCTAAAAATTTGTTGACCACGTTAACTGTTCAACTCCCCGAAGAAGACGATNCTCTTGCAAAGAATTTTAAGAAAAAATTGTTAAGTCATCTTAAATGATATCAAATTCATCTTAGAAAATAAGTTGTTCATTATCAAACTCTTTTTTCTTAAAGACATATAAGGTATAATCATTGCAGCAATTTTTTAAAGACTCATTTAATATTTAATATAAGTCCAAATATTAATCTTTTGGTAATGATAACAAACAATTCCCTTGCATATTGAAATAGTTGTTGCTGTTATTTCAGTATGGGCAAGGCCCTAGCTGCATTTGAATGGGGAGGGGGTGAATTCAGATTGGGGCATCTGCAGGAACTGGCTTTCCATGGAGAAAAGGTTGTGGCCAACAGCATGCCAGACTTAGCATATGACAGCTCTGTGGCACAGAATGGAGTAAATAGCTTCAATAACTGGAAATTTTCTTTTTATTCATTAGTCTAAAGTGCTTGTCTTTTTTGAAGACTACAACAACCCAAAAAACATGCTAAACCTAAAACAGGGCATGGCCAGCCCCAATGACCCACTCATTCCAATGGGGTACCAGACAACCAGTCATCAGAGATCACAGTCCATATACCACATAAAGAATGTATTAATTACTTTAAAATGTGAGGAGAAATGATACAGCTCAGTCAGTGTAGCAAGTAGAGTTGATATGATTCCAGATGAAAATACAAAACAGCAATTTGCAGTTTGTTTTAAAACATCATCCTAGAAATATATCTGTGTTGGATTCCTTGGTGTACTCAACATTCCAAGAACTATTGTCTTGGTTCAGAAACGGGTAGAAGATAAATTTATATTTAATAGCATACAAGACATGTTGATGGTTTTTTCCTTCTGGCTTTGAACTGTATGTCATGTGACATTTAATAGACGTCTTCAGATGGGAATTTTATCAATATTTGATCAATACAAAAGCTGGAAGAAAATTAGTCCCACTCCATTGCAACATTACTTATATATGATTTTTATTTACAGACAGATGTGTCTGAACATATTACTGTCACATGCGTCTGTCATCACCGTCTTTGCCATGCACTTTCAGTGTTATAACGATAAGTAGAAAACTATTTTGTCTGCAAACTTACAAAACTGATGAATATTAATATACTGGATGAGTTTGAAAATCAGCTTTATTTTTATAATTTTTACAACATTCATTTTTTTTTTTTGTATAAGTGGTTTTTTTCTCAGGTTCAATTCTTAGACATAAATGTCTCATTATTGAACATATTACATACATAAATTTGATAAATGTGTTCTTTTGACAAATTCTGCACTTTAACAATTTTGTTAGTTGATTATATAAAAATGATGGTAAATCTGTTATCATGTAATGTGAAATAAAGAGTCAAAATTGGAAAATAAAATTATATCAGTGCAGTTTGTCAAATTCAATCCTTCACTATGTTTATAATTACAAAATGGAGCAAATTGCATATTTAAAATTGTTCAATTGATGTATTTTTTATATGTTTGAATAGAGGCCGGTTGATACCATATTGCTGTACTTGAAATTTTGTTTGTTCTGTTAGTCTTAGTGCATTGTTCTTTAAGTATGAGATATATTAGTTTTGATTTTTAGATACTTGTCAAAAAGAATTTTTTTTGTAGTGTGTGCATGCCAATATTATGAATGTTCTCCCTTATTTTACTGAAATAAAGGATGTTTTTGGGGAAAAAATGTGTATATTCAATTGTTGCTCTTTTTCTCCCTCTAATCTTTTTCCTTTCACTTTAATTTTTATAAAAAATCCCTCAATATTTGTTAAAAATGGAATATCAATAAGAAGATTTTCCAATTAAAAATATACAAATTTATATATTTTGATTACCCCCAAGTTAATGGATTATGCTTTCTTTTATGGAGTGCTTTGCTGAAAGATATTCTGTATAATTAAATAGTATATTTGATGATAACAGACAACAATAAATCTTTACTAGTTTTTCAAATCCGGCTGCAGGGGTACGTACGGAAAAAATTTAGCCCCAAAATATTATTTGTTCCTATACTCCCGTTACCAATAGATAGATAAAGGAAAAACTGAAAAAACATCTTTTTATGTACAGACACAGATGTGTCTGTACATATTGCCATCACCTGCGTCTGTCGTCGCCGTCGCCGTCNACTTCCCTTTAACTGTACTTAGGCCTTTGAATGAGTGGTTAAAAAGTGAGGGGGGTCCATCAAGCCCCTCTGCTCCTACGCCTATGACTTTATTTTATTCGAATGATAATGATATGGTAAGTGGGGAGAAAAAAATCTCATTAAGTAAGTTTATATTTTCCAAAGACCCCTGTCCCCCCCCCCCCAGCAAGGTGAAAAATAATTTGCTTGTCTTCATTTTTGCATTTTAGCTGCAGAGTCAATCAAATCCACATAGGTCCAACGACAACAAAATCACATTCAGAAAATTTTCAACATGTTTTAATATCTTTTTAGACCATCCGTCCGGCCTCCCCCATCCCTTCCAAGCAACGGTGTTGTCAAACTTAGCTCAAAACCTGGATACGGTTGTGCAACACAATAAACATATCACAATATGTTTTACTTGTTCAGTGCATCCTGAACAAGGAACATGCATTGTATAAGTCGTCTATACAAAAGATGGCCTAAGAGACATTGATCATGTTATTTTGGAATCATCGTTTTTTTTTTATTCTATTTTAATTTTTGAAACCATACATTGCCTCTGTGGCGCAGAAAGACAATAAAGGAACAACGACTGTTCCTTTTGGCAAAACAAATTAATTTTTCTTACCTTCTACCAGGTATACTGATTGAGTTTTCACTAGATGTTCACAGATAATGTCTCTGGTTAAATATGGTCATGTTCTAAAACTGGCTGGTGGAAAATGTGCCTACAATATCTACCGCCCTTGTAGGGGGTAGCTTTTCCTGGGGTAAATGACAATTTTTACATACCAATGGTTAATGAATCCGTTTCGACATTCACAGTTAGTCTCTGTTGTTGTTATTATTATTATTATTTATTTTGTTATTTTATAAAAAGTTTGGTTATTTTGAAGTAATCCCTTAAGAAATTATTACAGCGGGTAGCCATCTATGTAGGTCATGTGGTACGATGGCAAACAAAGATCCCAGAATAATTGTGATAGCTGCCGTTTGGTGATTAAAAGAATCTATTATATTTCTGTAAGTTGGTTACAGTGTATTTATTGTGAAGTATGGGTCTCATTCGAAGGGTTGTTATCGTTTAAAGAAAGACAAGAGGTATTAAATCGT